TCAATCTATTGCTCATTGTTATCAAGCTATATCTTCAGCTCATGCCATTTTTATTTGTCTTTTAAAGGCTTTATATGCGATTTTTTGATCCAGCAGATGGAAACAAGTGTTTGGAGGATATGTTGGCGTTAAAAGCATCTGGTGTATTCTTTATATTTGAAGATTTAACAAGTCCGTGCTTCACTTTCTTCTTCGGTTTCAGATGGAGCACCAGCATGAAACCAACGAACCCTGGTTGGAGGGCCCCCAATTAATTCTTGCCTAGGGCCCCAGGAGACTCTAGAATCGGCACTGCCTACAATACAATCAGGACTGGTTCGATGGTGTGATGTGTTTTTTGCCTCTAACCTTTTGCATAAGGCAGAAATTCTGTTTTTTTGTGCAGGGAGTGATTTATAATAATGGTCACAAGAGTCTGTTTGAGACTGAAAGAAATAAACGTCTTTTTCATATAGTTCCCCATATGGAGAGCAGTAATGTTGATGAGGGCATCATAGTTCATCCCTAATAAACTTTGATCCAGGCACCTCCAAACACAGCGGATGTATAAACAAATAACTGTCTGTGGGTTGAAGCTGATAGCAGCTCAGGTTAATGAACTTTTCAATGTCAGGATTTTAACTAATGATGATGTTTTGCCCCATCCTGAATATTTCTCCAGCAGGTCCGGGACCAGCATGCGTAGTAGGGTCTTGTTTCTTTTTGCTGAGAACAGAGTGACACTCAGGGACAGAAGCTTGTAGGCTGATGCTGCAGAGGTGAATGGACTTAGCTTGTATAGAGCTTTAGCCTTCAGAAACCGCAGGTCTCAATCTTCCCATTCATACCCCTTTACACACTGATGGCAGAGGATGCTGTGTAAAGTGACCATTGGAATTAACTTACACCATTCATACACATTCATACACTGCAGACAAAGCAGAAGGAGCAACTTGGAGTTAGGACTCATTGGACATGTGGCTGCAGGAGCTGGGGATCAGACCCCCTACCTTTCGGGTTCAGAGAGGTCGATTAAATCCAGGTTCCATATTGGATTTAATTATTTATAAATCATTTACTGGATTGGGAGTACACTTCTCCTCTGATGTATCTTCTGGCAACCAAACAGATTTTGCACAAATGCAAAACCTGAAGATAACACGTTCAACAAATATTAGCTGGCTCTGGATCAAGGATGGTGTAGGGGTTCTGTAAATAATCTGAAATAACCCGAGGGATGCAACAATGTGTTACAAGCCTACTAATTCTCTGCAGGATTTCAAAATCGAGTTATGATGTCTATGATTCAAGTCAGGCTCAGTGTACAATGGGGTTCATTCTGTTTGCACCTAGAGACTTGATGGGAACAGCTTCATGGGGGTATACAAGTGGGACTTTATTTTTCAGCTGGCATACTCCTGTGTGCAATTTCATTTTCCCACAATTTGCTGAAACACCGTAAATTCTTGCAGATCCATGGCCATTGTATGTATTTTAATGTTCAGTTGAAATCTGTTTTTTTTATCGTCCCACAAACAGAAAATGGTTTTGCAGTCAGCACTATAAATCATCAACTATTACAAAGACAACAGAACAATGGGACCACATAAAAAGTTTATTTGGTAAAGCTTATTTGTTTCTGAGAAGATGCTCTCGACTGTATCACCAACAGTTTTTAACATGTTGAGTCAGCTCGACAGTTGCTTTTTTAAACAGTTTTAAACATCTGACAGATTGTGTGAAAAAGAAGTGTGATGCTGACATTGACTTACAGCCTTCTTGTGAGTATATTCACAAAAAACTCACATTAAACATGTCTGGATCTCCTGCCCTCCAAAGAAGAATCCGGTGTGTCCCTGTAGCATGGTTAGCTGAAATTACTCACCACAGATACATACGTCCGGGTTTAGCACTTCCACACCCAAGGGAGACCACCATGGTGACGAACAGCAAAATGCTTTTCCATACAGTTGGTGGTCTGAAGAAACCTCAGTCTGACAGTGTGTGGCCTGAGCGCTCTCCTCTCATTCATCTACAGCAGAGCACTGAGACATGTCTGTTCAGGAACTCGCCATCACTGGGTTTGTGTTGAATATTTCCCACCGATTAACAACTTAGTCTTAGTCCTTATAGATCAAAAATAAAATAAATATGCATGTGTGTGTGTGTGTGTGTGTGTGTGTGTGTGTGTGTGTGTGTGTGTGTGTGTGTGTGTGTGTGTGTGTGTGTGTGTTGTGTGTGTGTGCGTGTGCGTGTGCGTGTGCGTGTGCGTGTGTGTGTGCGTGTGTGTGTGTGTGTGTGTGTACACAATCTAGGAGGATTTGTTTTGCTAAAAGCAGAAACCTGACACAACATCTGTGATTTTTAGAGATTAGTCTAGATTTGTATCTTATAATGTTGGCCTGCCACAAAAGAGATGATTATTAAGGGTCTTTTACCGCAGCCCTGTGTATCTGTTGTTCTTTAAGGGGGTTGGGGATGTGGTCACTGAAAAAAAATAGAAACATCAGATAGATGGTGTACTAGCTCCTGCTCAATAGATACTTGATATTCTATCTGAAATGATGCACTGTCAGTGTGCTTGATCTAAAAGTGAAGCGGCTGCCAGCGACATTAAATCATACCTATACAGAGAAGTGAAATTCTTTGGATGAAGGGGAAAAGGGAGTTCCTTCCATCAACATGTTCAGACTTTGTTCCAAGCAGCTGTGCTAGAAAACTCAGTCAGAAATATAGAGGCTGGTGGAGCAGTGGTTAGTGTGTACGCCCCATGTATAGAGGCTGTAGTCTTCCAAAGCAGGCAGCCCAGGTTTGAATCCAGCCTGTGGTGATTTCCAGCTCTATCCACTGTCCTATCTCTCCACTAAAGGCTCAAAAAGCCCGCAAAAGTAAATCTTGAAATACAGAAGCTGGTCATTTTAATACCAACCAATATCAAGACCAAAAGGAGAAACCTCATCTTCTGTTGTGGGTTAAAGGGACAACATGATGAAAATTAAAAGGAAGTGTAAATGAGCTCTCTTTCCAAATAACAAGGGCTTCCTCTATCTTCAAGTCCAGTTCACAGAAAAGGTCAAGTCACTGTCAGCAGTTTGTTTTGGGCGGGTCTTTCCTTTACCCCTCTGCAGTCAATTTCACAGAAACAAAAATATAAACAGGGGACACAAAGACTTGCTAAAAGACGGAATAGCGCAGTGTTTTTCAAAGTGGGGGTCACCGGAGGGGAGAGGGAGGGGGAAGGGATTTCCTTTTTGTATGCAAATCTTTCAATTGATGAAAAAAATAACAAACACCACCTTAACCAATCAGAATTAAGCAGGCACCTTGTTTTGAGTGACACTTCTACCTCATCCTCAAATGGTGGGGGGACAGACCCTTCTCCATAGCTACCCCTTCCCCACACATCATTCAATACTGCACTGACCCATCCACATTCAAATCATTACTCAAGACTTTTCAAAAAAGCGTTTCCTGTTTGATGGTGATATGTATTCTGTTAATGTGTATATGTTGTTGTCTACATGACCTGTGAGTAATGTCCCAGTGTTTGTTCTTGCTGTATTGTCTTGATCTTCATTTCTTTTTCTTTCTTTTAACAAATGTAAAGTGTCTTTGAGTTCCTGAAAAGTGCTTTATGAATAAAATATATTATTATTATTATTATTATTGCATCGTACAAAGAGCTTAAATCATTTTGCAAAAGAGGGGGTCTCCACCAGAGGCCTAGGCAATATGGGAGTCCTTGGCATAGCAAAGTGTTTGAGCCCCTGCTCTATGGTGGATAAAAAGGGGGAAAGCACCACCTAGTGGTAAGCACAGTCAAGGTCACGTTCACTATCACAATGTTTTTTTTTTTATCTTCATACTGACACTTCCTGCTCTGTTAGAAGAAGAGTCACAACCTTTTTGGAGCTTCATTGTAAACGTGTTGGTCTGCAGTTCAATTAATGATGTATAACAAGCTGAGACTATATGAACAGACATTCCCATGATTTGTGACCATTAATGCACTTATCTTGATCTAATGCAGGAAGAAAGATCAAGTGCTGGGAATCAAATATTTGCTGTTGACTCCATGAATATCAGGTTTACAATATTGGTTATGCACACAAAAAGAGACACATTCTTTTTAACAAAAGTATAACAACAAGTAATGAGAGGCTGAATTAGACATTAATATGATCAACTGTTGTAGGCATTACAGATATTTGGCTTAACCCTGAGAACAAATAATTTTATTAATCTCAGGAAATATTAAAGAGGACATATTCTCCCCCTCCTCCACCTTTTGAAACAGTCCTCTGTGGTTTAAATGAAACATCTGTGCTGTGCTTTGGTCAAAATATAATGTAACGGAGTTAAAATGCACTTTATTTTTGAGTACAGTTTACAATTTATACTTGAGATTTCATTTACAATTTATTTCTGTTAAGTATTTGTGAATTTTATCTTAACGAGTTATGTATATTTACTGTTATTTTATCAAATTTATGTTTCCTTTGAGAATTACCTTTTTGGCACTTTGCGGCTTCTGTACCTCCTGGGTTACCATAGCTCCTTCCGTCTGCCCCTCAGTGCCAGTCTGGTCCCCCCCCCCCGACCACATCCGTTACAATAACATGAACCAAGCACCAGAGGAGGTTTGTGACCCTGTATAAACCAGCTCTCTGAGAATGCTCCATTTTGGTGTGTGTGTCTCTTTAAATGCAATGACCCCCCCCCATTTTCTTTTTCTATTTATTTATTTGTTTGACTTTTAACATAAAACAACATTAATATCTTGACAGATATTAAACATATGACATGAAAAACAAACAACAGAACAAACAAATGCAAGTGTCACAGATACTTGAGCCTGTTGGTTGGATGAGGATTACATTTTTCTACACATATGATGCTTATGGGGAGGGTATTTCTTTTACCAGAATCCCACTGTGACATCACAAACTGAGCACATTTGAAACGGAGCACTTTCCTCTGTGTAGTAAGACTTATGCAGACTACAAACAAAGGACTGGATGGGTTTATTTCACATTTTGGGGGTCAGTAGACACTCAGGTTACCCAAATATATGTTCAGAAACACTGTAGAAGAGGATTTCTCATAATATGTTCCTTTTAACCATCTATGATGTGGTCAAGAAATCTGATATTTGAAACACTTCTTAGTGCAAAGGAACACAACTAAACTATTTAGACGCATTTAAGAGTCAGTTTCAAATATATCAAGGTTTATAGAGTTGTCCTGTAGGTTTCGACATTTGATCACACGTTGCAATTTAGTAGTTAGCAATTTTCCTTCTTCCTGTTTGAAAAAAAGATGTCACGTCCATTGTTGATTTATCTGAGAGGGAAGCCTATAAAGTCTTGGTGGGGAACTGCATAGGCTATAAAGGCCACACAAGAGGAAGCTTCACCAAACCACTTTTTAAAGCATGACAGACATCTGATTTAAGAATGACCTAAAAGGAACGCCGGTTTGTTCAGATGTCCCATTTATGGAGGCTGTGTGGTCCTCAGGATGGCCTGACCCGGGGGTTCAAATCCAGCATGTGGCTCCTTTCCCGGTTTGTTGTTGCCCACTCTCTCCTATCCGCTGTCCTATCTCTACTACAAAAGGCGAAAAGACCCCTAAAAAATCAATCAAATCACTTGACTGCTTCGTTACATAAAGTTCAGCCAAGTCAATAGCACCAGTGTTTTCCTTTCAGAGCAACATGCACTTCATCACCCCGTCTTTCTTTATCTTTTTTGATGACTGCAGACTCTATCTTTTTTGATGACTGCAGACTCCATCTCTTCTCTTTATCACTTCTTCTGGGCTGAAGTCTCCTCTAATTGATATTTTGACAGCAGCTTGTCTTTTTGAACTGAATTCTCCACTCAGTTGTTTGGTGGAGCTTTCCAAGTACAGCAGTCAAGTATCTTCATGTCTTTTAACTAGATCTTCCAGGTCTAAAGGAGAAAATAAAATGTTATTCAAGATGTATATAAAAACAGTGGTAAGTAAAATAAATCTTGGCTGGAAACACATTCAACAGATATATTACTTTGGGCGAGATACACCCAATCAATACTTGAAGGATTCAAGGCATGATTTTTCTTTAAGAACTCACACTTGAGCACAGTTTGGTGAAGGATCGTGTAACCCCTGTCAGGGTTATTGTTCAGGTCAATGCTGATAAAGAACTTCAGTTCCTGAGGAACCTGAGAGCGGGACAGGTTCTTAACCAGTGGAATAATCCGATGGGACATAGGTCCCTCTGCTAGAGCCTGTTGTGTCATATACTGGCACCAATCATCCTGCAGGAAGTTAGGAGTGATGAGCAGAGCCCAAACATGGCTGTTCAGCACAGCCTTGCATAATTCTGTGGAAACTGCCCCTCCTGGACAGTCATCCCTTCCCCCGAGAAAGCACCTAAGACTACGGGGAGAAGCCTCCAGGAAAGAGACCAGGCGTCCTCCCTCTTCAGCGTCACTGTCCACACAGCTGTGGCACACGAGCACATCATACTTTCTGCTCCATCGCTGCGGTGAGCTCAGAGCAGACGGAGGCTGTAGGGGATCAGACGGTGCTGTCTTTGGTGACGTCGTTGAAGGCGGCGGTGACACACTGTTGACAGGGGATGTTGAAGATTTTGTCACTTTTGCTTCTTCTCCGTGTTGTGCTGAAAAAGACACTTTTGACTTCCAGAGTTTGCGTAACCAACCTGAAAGTTTTTAGAGACACATTTAAAATAAGTCTAACTTTGTTTTGTGTTTTGATATATTCCTCCTCGTCCAAATGCTAACGCATTACTTTCTGTGTGTGGCACAATCCGCCGTTTTTAAATCATATCAGGGAAAATTATTTCATGCTCACTTCCATAAATAATACAATGTTATTCAAGGAGATAATCAATCAATCTTTATTCGTATATAGCTAATTTATAACTATAACATTATATTTCAAATACATGAATAAATCCATACTTACAATGCATGTTGGTTAAAATGTCATCCCGTCCTCTAAACGCCTTGCTAAAGTCCTCCAGGTAAGAAATCATCACATTATTACATACTGTATATATTTATAGAATACTCAAGTGGGAGCACAATGAGACACAATCCAGCGACAGCCACAGAGTGAGAGAAAGACTAAGTAGAGCTTTGAGTGTCACTGACATCGCCCTGAAATAAAGAGGAAGCTCCAAAACCGCTCAAAGTGACACATTCACATGACACCCCCACAGGCAAATATTACATTCAAATGAACTAAAACATTATACTTCACTGAGCAGCTCGTTAACCATGTTCCAGATGGCTACATCCGTCTTGCTGATGTGCTACACAAGAACATGTAGTCTAAAATAAGACTGTGGGATTTAACTATAATTTGCATATTTTACACATTTTTATAGAAATTTTGGTTTTATCAACTTTTTGTCAATATCTTAAAAAGGTAATTTAACTGTTCTGTGTCTTACACATTGAACATAAATTAAGATTTTTTTTTAAATACAATTGACATTTAAACAAGTGACATTTAAGTCACCATAAACACAATACATTGACCTCATGCTGTAAAACGTTTTATTTTATTTTATTAAAATCATTAAAGAAATAAGGCTATTTAAATATCTACAATAATTGAAAGTAATGATGTTTAATGATGTATAGTTGCAGCTCCTCCAAATCCAGTAGATGGGATGCCTTCAGCTGATATAGTCTAGATTAGTCCCAGTCCAGTCCAGTGTAGCGAGACTGCTGAATTACAACACAGTTGCATTTTACATTAGAGGAAGTAAGAAGGTCATCTTGTCAAGTTGGCTGGCTATTATATCGGTTGTGGTGGAGTAAATGCTTCTATCTTCAGTTTCCTTTAGGTGGAATACAAAAAGACATAAAGACCATAAAGGACCATCTTACCTTCTACAGTGCAGGACCATTAAAGATAATGCCTATTATCTTTATTTTATTTATAAGAAATGAAAGGAAGAAAATACTGATAGGCCTGCTTGTTAACATTGAAGAGGTAGCGTGATTAATGACAAAATATTATTGTGTGGTGGATTTGTCAGTTCTTCCTGTAAACCACTTGAGTTGAATAATACACAAAATGAAGACTTGCATTAAAATGACTAAAAAAAATGTACATCAAAAGTAATGCAACCTCGATGCAGAAAACTGGCAAATGTGATTATTCCTTTTCTGCTGGAGCTATTATATATATATACAGAGTTTTATTATAGTTACATTCAATATATTCATGCAGACTTTCCGTTAATATATTCGTAAATAAAGTGGAAAGTAGGCCTAGCCCATAGGTTGAAAATGTCCCTCATAGAAAAGACTAACGCAGATAAAAGTTCTGAAATATGACTTTGAGTGCATTTGTCTTATTATAGGCTATCTCAGCACACTGCATGTCTTGTTCATTCCATTGTCTGTTTATAATTATTTATTATAGTATTTATTTATTTTTTCCTGTCAAAGCGTCTTTGAGTATTTAGAAAAGCGCTATATAAATCTAATTTATTATTATTATTATTATAAATACTTGTGCTTATGACCACAATTCATATTAAGTGTACATTTTATTTTACTGTCTATATAGGCTTAGTCAAATCCATAGGTTCAATCTTATGACATACAATAAAGTTTAATAGGGATGACGTTTGAAAACTACATGCTCAACAACGCTATCACATGCTTTGCTGCGCATGCGCGAAGAAATCTCCGGAAGCGCGCGTTACTTCCTGTTTCTGCTTCTGACGTGTCTAAAACAATTCTGCTCTGCCGGTGGGCTTTTCTTGTGGGGGATTTATTTTCTATTTAAGTATTTATCTGGTAAGATGTCATTGTTTAAAGTGTGAGCAGGATCTCTTCTCAGGTGTACTGGGCCACCTGAGAAACTAACGAAGGTTTCACCTGTTCTGTCCGTGTGTGATTTTTAAATCCAGATACGTGGTGTTCAAGATGCTCGACTTCTTCACCATCTTCAGCAAAGGGGGGATAGTGTTGTGGTGTTTTCAGGGAGCCGGGGTCTCTGAGTCCTTCACTGGACCTGTCAACGCTTTGATCCGCTCCGTGATTCTTCAGGTGAGACACAACGACACCTGAAAACACTGTTCACAGAGTCTGTCATATGGCTAAGATAGCTAAGGCTAATGCTAAGAGGTGGCACACGTTAGCTTATTGCGTAACGTTTGTGTATTAAACAGTCGACTTTTGAATTATCTATAGCCTAATAATCACATTGTTACGATTTGTAATGTTAAGACCGATTGTTTTTGCTGCAGTCACTGCCTTCATATTGTCAGAAAGCTAGCTGTAGTCGCATTCACGTGTGTAAAGCTGCTGTTGACATGTCAACGATGTTTGTGACGTCACAGGAGCGGAGTGGGAACAACTCATACACCCATGAGGCCCTGAGTCTAAAATACAAGCTCGACAATGAGTTTGAGTTAATTTTTGTGGTAAGTCTCTCATCTGCAACCTAAATACATCACAATGAAACTGAACATCTGATACCTGTGTGTGTTTGATATTCTGCTTCACACACTGATCACCACTCTTTTCTGTTCTAAGGTGGGTTTTCAAAAGATCCTGACGCTGACTTATGTGGACAAGTTTATAGATGATGTGCAGCTCCACTTCAGGGATCGTTATAAGAACGAGCTGGAGCAAAAAGGAGCTCTCAAACTTCTGAGTAACAACTTTGAATTTGAAGATGACTTTAAGATGCTTCTCAGGTAAACATGACTCACAGAGGTCATTTCTTTTAATCAAAGTGTAATGGCTATCATTGTCTATAGCATAATCTGTGTAGAAAGGAAACTATCAGACCAATGAAGCTGCAATTTTTAAATGTACTTCATTAACTAAAACTTTTTTCTCTTCATGCTGATGTTTACCCAAAGAGAGGCAGAGGAGAGCAGCAGAGCTCGAAGTCCCGTCCCCATGCGGTCTTTTAAGGACTCTGAAAAATCCCAAAAAACTGTGAAGTCAATGATTGAAACAAAGGGTGGAGACAAAGGCAAAGAAGTCAGTGGCAAAAAGAACAAAAATCCAAAAAAGGAGGGTAAGTGCTGTTGGAATTTTGTTGTTCTGAAACATCTCAATCAATAATGTTAATGTAGCACAATTTAGACATTTGGTTTTTCTTGTCCAATCGTCTCCAGCTCCTGCAGCTGAGCCTGCCAAAGTGGATCAAGTCAAGAACTCATCCTCTGGGCAGAAGACGGTGGAGAATGGTAACCAGGGCATGACGTCTGATGAGATCATCCAGAAGAAGAGAGAGGAATTCTTTCGCAAGCGCATGGTGGTACCCACTGAAAAACCAACGTAAGAGATGCAACATTCATTCATTTCAACTCAAAGAGCAGTGTAGAAAGATAATGTCTTTTTTGCTTATTTCTGCTGAATTTGTTCTGATATTCTGTCACTCTACTCAGTAAGTCTCCAAAGCCTCAGAAGCCGAAGGAGCCGAAGCAAAGGCGGGTTTGGGACATGGGTGGTAGCAGCGCCAAGGAATTGGACTACAGCGGAAGGAATGAAAACGGTTCCCCCAATGGTGGAGAACAGAATCCTGAAACACAATTTGACGCTGTATGTACCACCTCCATCTCTACCTAAAGAGGTTTTCTTTATGTGGTCTGTTGCTAAGTCTCTCAATGCAATGTCTTGATGGGTTTCAGGGGATGCAGCTGAACTCCATGAAGGGTGACCTGCTGTCTGTGGACTATGAGTCCAGTGAGGACGAGGTGATTGAGGAGGAAGAGGAGAGAGTTGTTATAAGTGAAACAAGCAAGACAAGGTAACACAGTTTATTTATCACATAGCTAGGCTGTATTGTTTTGGTGTGTCTGCCATCTTTTACTCAATGTTTTAAATTCATGTTGCACTGTAAAAAAAAAAAAAAAAAAAAAAAAAGCTAACAATTGTTGGTTGTTGCAGCTCCAAAAAAGGTGGTGGCTTTGGGGGCATGTTTGGAATGCTGAAGGGCCTGGTGGGGTCCAAGAGTCTGACCAGGGAGGACATGGAGGCAGTACTGGAGAAGATGAGGGACCACCTTATCAGTAAAAACATCTTTCTCATCCAACCCATTGATTTAGTGAAATATTTAAAAAATGCAATCGTCTGCTATTAACACTTCTCCTTTATGATCCAACAGCAAAGAATGTAGCAGCCGAAATCGCCTCCCAGCTCTGTGACTCTGTAGCCAAAAAACTGGAAGGCAAAGTCATGGGCACATTCACCAGTAAGTAAATTTTCGGACTTATTTAACACACGGACGCTAGACTGAAGATCTTCACTTTTTCAAATCATGTTTTTTATTTTACTTGGGGAGAGGTTTAGTTGTACAAAGCTCTTCGTACTCCTGTCCCTCTCTGAGAGCACCAGTCTTCATGCTGTGAAAAGTGATGTTATTTCAGTAATGTGTTTTCTGTACTTTGTATGCGTGGTTACTGCAGTAATTTGATTATAAGAGGTTCACATCTTGTTTCATGTACGCAGGACGTGCTTTGCAGTGTTGCTCAGAATGTTGCATAAACATTTATAAAAATGTTTAAGGTTATAAACCATGCCCGTATTTTATATCTAACATGTTTAATTCAATTAGATCTTTTATTTGTTGGCCGTCAGTCTATACAGAGATCAGAATCAGGCCACCCAGTGGAACTCGTCATCAGCTTATCTGTATACAGTTTACTATTCATATAAATATTTTTGTTTATTTATTTACTCAACTTTTCCCTCTGTTAATGAAAGACATGCTTCACACACAAACACATATGCACAAATATGTTCTAGGTACATGCTTTATTGGAGAGAGAGGGGGGTTGCACTCTGACGCAAGGCCAGAGGAGTTAGGGGTTCCTTGCATTGCTCAAGAGCATCTCAGCAGAAACCAGTCCCAATTCCATCTTGGTCCTTACTGGGACTTGAGCCGGTGACCTTCTGGTTCCCAACCCACTGCTGCCTGAGATAAAAGTCAATAATCATGATATTAGCTCAAGGCCTTGAAAGTCTTAGTTCTTTATCATATTGATTCACTTCATGTTTCTAAATTAATTGTGTAACTTTGGATCTTTCTGAATCCCTCCTCCTAGTCAAACTGCACAAAAAAGATCATTCAACTGATGTTGTTGTAACTCTTAAGTAGTTAATTGGCATCAGTAAATACCAGCACAGCAT